TCATTAATGCAATTGAGAAAATTAAAGTGGCCAAGCACCGACTCCTTGAAACATACCACAAGTAACAAAGGTTCAGTTTGAATGGACCCAGTCAATAACATTTTGCTTTCTCTCATCCAACCAACATACAATTCACTTAAGTCTTTCCCCAACCCCTACTGTTGAGATTTTCTTAGCTAACCTTCTGTTAGCATTTTATCAGAAGCTTTTTGGAACTCTGTACATTAAGTAAATTCACTTTTAATCATCCACATTACAAGTAATATCCTGAAAAAATAAAAGATTAGTAAGACAAGATTCCTCTTTAGTTAATCCTTACTAACTTTCATTTATGATATATCACCAAATGATTTTGAAAAGTTTCTTTCATCAAAATCTGTAAAATTTTTCCCACTATAGAGTTAAGATTAACTGACCTGTAACTTCCAGGAAAACTCATCACCTCCCTTAAAAAATAGGAGTACATTTGTAGCATTACCAACTATTCAATCTTCAGACACCCATTTACTGTCTAATTAACCTACCCTAAATGACAGGATTGACTATAGTGTATACAAACAGCACAAAACCAGAAGCCTCAACAAAATATATCCAAATTAATATACATCAAGCTACTTAAGGCACAACTACAAACAAAACAAATTTTACCACATCTCTTGTGAATGTGGACTCCAACACACTGGAGAAACAAAAAACACCAACAAAAGTAGGAGTTGAAGAGCATAACATAAACAATATTCTGTAATAGCTAATAATTTCAGAGAAAAAGACCATACAATAAAACAGAATAATACTAAAATAGTCAGATAAACAATACATAAGAGAATGATGAAAGAAGCCTTTTATATCCACCTAACAGATAACACTCAGTAAAACTTGGATACTCCTCTTGAATCCATTAAAATAATGAATTCAAATCATACCAGTAGACTTCCATTCATGGATAGTACATCAGCATTTCAAAAAAGATAGAGGATCAAAATCATGCATCTACCAACTGAAACATTCCTTTCCTCAACATAGTAACAGAATAGCAACCAAGGTATATAAGCTAATTGGAAATCATCAATTAGTAGTGAAAAACGTCACTAACTAATAATTATGCAAGGTGTTTGCATAGAGTACTAACCATGACAACAACAAACATCTTGTATAATTTTTATTTAAAACAAAATTAGCCAACAACATGAGAGAGCATATCACATAACACATTGTCAGTGCAACTGTCTAATAGCAGAAGTATTACTTAATAATAATATTAAAATTGCAACAATAAATCACAAGCAATTAATTCTTTACTACTAAACTATTACTACAGAGTACTACTACTAGTACTATCCCATGGATGACAGGTAGATACATCAGGTTAGAAGGGTTGCTACTGGCTGGTTCCTTTTATGCATTTGGTGGTTGCCAGAAAAACAATTCAATCTGCCTGTTTTATTTATGTGGGCCTAATGATTTGCATTGTTAACACAATATAAGGGAATATCTAATGTTAAACATTTCTTTAACTAGCTAAAGTAAAGATCATTACTGTAGTGTAACCACTTCTCTAGTTTAAGCAATACTACTATTATCAGATTTTTATATGGCCAGATTCTTTACTGTAGGTGTCTGTGATATGTTGGTGATAAATTTCATCAATAAATGGACAGCACACAATCCACTTGTTTTAAAATAATATATTCAAAACAAGTCAAACAGTTGAATCTAGAGCTTTAAATGATTCACTTTTTTTTTGTCAAAAGTCCACATAGGCTGGTTCAGTTACTTTACAACCCAAATGACAGTATAAATTATTTCTTCTCTCTCTCTTCTCTGTTATCACAATATCAATGATTAATTCACATATGTTACCCCATGGGTTACCACAGTTGTATCCAGAGCTTTAAATAATTCTCTTTTATGTCAAAAGTCCATGCAGGTTGCTTCAATTATTTTAGAACACCTTTTAACAAGAAAAACTATCCTCGTCTATCTCTGTTATTACAAGCTGTGAAACTCAAGTTTAAAAATCACCCATTACGGCTAATTCACATGTAGTCTAACTTTACTGTTACTCTCACTTTCATTAATTTAACTTCCTTCCTCTCTGTATCTGCATGTATTTATAACACACGATAGAAAAATTTAGAAATATATAGCTCTCTAGTAACAAAAATATTATACATATGGACAAATACTTAGAAGCTTTGAGTAAGATGAAGTCAACAATATTACAAAACCCTAGTACAACAATTAAACTACATTATACATACACCACATACAACTTGTACAAAATTACATAACGAAACACTAGTCATAACTATCTCTTTTGAAATAATTAACTTTGAACCCTTTTGTTGTGAAAACTAAATAATCATTAAATACTGAATCACCAAATAAACTAAATAATAATGCGTGGAGATGGCTTGAATGGATAATGAAGAAAAACTTTAATATAAGTTTAACATAACAGCAAATGTACAACATTTCGACAAGGTTTTGTCATCATCAGGTACAAGTAACTTACACTGACACAGATATATATACAGTATTGAACAAAGATGTCACATGACCAGATACTGTTGCCGAAACTTAGAAGAGGTATCTAGGCACCCCGGGGTGTTGGTTTAGAATAGGGTTGTTTTGTTGAATTAAGATGGATTCCTTGATTTTTCGAAACCGTTAATCTAGTTTCCATGGTGTTACTAT